CAAGGGTCGTATGATATATTGATGAATGGATTTTCCTTACAATCTACTACTACTCATAGGAAAGCAAATTAAGGTATTGAAAGTGCATTACAGGAAAATATAATTTGCTACGTGGGAGGCTTTTGGTTTGGTGTTTGAACCCTTTGAATGTAGTCTTGAGCTTAGTATTTATAGGGGGAGTCCTAGAGGGACAATCGAGGCTGAAAAGATCTGCGTGATATAGCCTGATCGGGGCAAGTGGGTAGTCAAATCGGCATTTGGGATCGTGAAACATGGTGGTGTGACCCCCATGGATCCGGGTAAATCTCGGCCACCGCCCTGATCGTGGGTTCTGCCCCCTTGGCCGTGGGAACGCATTTAATGCCCTGGTCTAGTGGTTGGTGATCTGACCTCAAGTTGTAAGCATACTTGTGAGAATGTTTGTGCATAACCACTCCGATTTCCATTACCAAATCCTGACTTCAGTCACTTCCCCTCTCCCCTCGTGCATTAAATGCTTCTTACAACTAGTGAGTTTGCGCGATAGTCAGAGGCATTACTTCATTAAATGGGGCGTGGGACCCTGAGGCCACGTGGCGATTTGACCACAGTATCTTCGGCCGTGTCTTTTACGGCCTTCAGCTTCGGCCTATAATACCGCGGTCGTGAGGCCTAGAGGATTCTGCCTTTGCAGCTTTTCTTTTGTTTTCAAGAAGGCGAAATGCCTAATGAAACGTGGCCGTTTCAGTTCATGAGTAGGTGCTACGGCCGAGATGAGGTCCCTTCAGTCAATTTATGACCGTGATTTATTAGGCACAAACAGGGCCTAGGTGTGTCACCCTTGGGTCTTAGAGATTAACAGGGATAGGAATAAGGTCTTGCTGACGGTCTAATAGATAGATAGTCTCTGCAATCTTTGTATACCTTCATCGGTTCATAGGGCCGGTCTTTCGGGGGGGAGATATGAAGGAGCCACGACTTGGCCTGGTCGTCTCTGAATAGAGAAGGCCTTTACCCTTGCTGAGCCTAGACTGTACTGGGGCACTATGGCGGGAGTGCACCGGCTGGTTTGGCTGGGTATGCTCAACATCCTGGGTGAAGTCACGTTGGGAGCCTTGGGCTTGAGTCATCTCCCAGTTACGCTTTAGCGTGCAGTAGTCATGCTCCAGCTCGACATTTTTGGTATGGAGATGTTCGTATTTATTGGACATCTTGGCAACGCTGGCGCGAATGAGCTCCACCTTTGCCTGGAGATTGCCATCTGCTGAAGGTTTCCTTCGGGAGGTACCCCCGCGTGAGGTATGGTGCTGAGTATCGTGGCTATCCTCGATCGGCATAGCAGAGTGTGGGGTGTAGAAGAGGCGACAGGGCCTGAAGGGAGAAGGAGCTAGCTGGGCTAGTAGAGAAAAATGGGATTCAGTAGTCGATTCCCACAAACGGCGTCAAACTGTTGATGCTCTTTTTGATAGGTTAATTTAGAGAAAAAGGGGTTGTCTTCAGTGATGGAGAAGGTGAAGACCCTTAGTAAGGGAAGGGCCTGCAAAATATAAAGTAAGAGAAGCAATCGTTAAGCTTCGGACACAGGTGTGGTGCCGGCCGAAGGCTCTCCGATGCTTAAGTCGGCTATGAGTGGTGAAATAGGCAGAGTAACAGTAACAGTGAGAGAGAAGTTACCATTTTTACTTGGGTATTGTTCCCTATTTATAGGGAAGTGAAAATGGGCGGTTTGCACAAAGTTTCGATGTGGAACTTTGTGCAAATCGCTGTGATGACGACACGTGTCCTTGGAGATTAGGTTCGGCAGTTGGAGCTTTGGCGAATGTCGGACACCTCGGAAGAGTGTCTTCCTTCAGCAATGGAGAAGACATGTCTGCCTTGATGCTAGTCGTTTTGAGGCTGGATATGCTCGGTTGATTATGGTGTAAACAAACATCATATCTACTTTGCTCTTCATTGCCCTTATACACATCTAGTTTTGACTTTGTTCATATATACGTACAAGGAAAATAATTATATACTTGCCTAAATTGAGGGCTTTCAATCCGAGCAATGTATCACAAGATTATCTTTTATAATTTGGGATTTAATGCTAAAATCAAAGAATAACTCTCTCAGATTCGTTATATATAAAACACTTGGGATGCAAAATTAAGTAATAAGCGAATTGAATAGGAATGTAGGATTCTGATTCAGTGTTATGATTGCATGAGATACAATATGAAGAAAAATCAAAAGGGTTTGAAGCTTACGTTGACTTTACATGACAACGTTTTTCCTATAAATACACTGTCTCCTTCAATTCTGCACATCATTTTCCATTCACCAAACCCTACTTGAAGCCTTGAACAAAGATCAAAACAATGGGTTCTCCTGACTATTATAAGTCTCATTCATCCCCACGTGTTCCAATGCTATTGGTTCTCTTCTTCCTCGTGATCAATATCACCCCATCTTTGGCTCAAGACACCCAACAACTGATCGATCATATTTGCAGGCAGATGGAGGAGTTTGGGTTTTGCAGCCAAACTTTCAAGGAGAATTTGAAGTCTCCAAACGCTGATATTGTTGACCTCACCCAAATAACCATAGAGCGCGCCACAGACAATGCCACCAAGACATACGACTTTATCAGGCAGGTGCTTGGCAACACAAACGACCCTGCACTCAAAAATGCTCTCACAGAAAGTGAGAATGGTTACCGTGTGGTGATGGAGTCGTTTGACTCGGCTGCGCTGTCATTTTTCCAGAAGGATTCCGAGAGTGTGCAGAGGTATGAGACTGTGACACCGAGGGCTGAGGCCAGCTGCGAAGACTCACTCAGCACACCGCCTAACACCCAGAACCCTCTTACTAATAAAACTAGGCAGATGAGGATTTTGATTGCTATGGCTTTGGTTTCTTTGCATGACCTAATGGCTACCCAGCACAACTAGAGCTAGGTCTTCTAGAAGCAACCAACCATTTGGATCTCTTAGAAAAAGTTTTAGAAGTTATCTGATTATGATGCTATTATATGTATGATTATTAGATTATTAATGGTCACTAAACTTTGACTGTGTTATGTTATGAATATTGAAGCTACATGTTTGGCAAAGGATTCACAATTCTAGTCACGTGTTTGGTCGTCTAAAAATAACTTGAATTTGACTATGTCTAATCATCCTAGACTAAAATTTAAATGAATTATTCCAAGAAGCTTGTAGTTTAAGTGGTAGTTAAGCATATTAATCCTTGCAATCATAAGTTTGATTCTCCCTTCTCACAATATCACTTGTATCGAATGTAGTAAAATTATCAATTAATTCCATCAAGAAGCTGTAATTAATCCAATGTAATCCAATGTGGTTTTGGAGGCCCTAGGCAAATTACTAAAATGTGGCCTTCTATTCTCTATGTATCTTTTGCAATATTTTTTCGATAAGTTAAAAAAAAAAAAAAAATTATATGAGCTCAAGTCAGAATTATAACCTAAAAAGAAACAAACAAAATGTAATTCACCAAATAATAGACTGGATCCATGTCCATTTTAATTGAAAATGTCACATCCAGTCCAGCACACAAACTGGGCCAAAGAGAAGTAGTTAGCCACAGTTAGCTTACTGTCACCACAATGAGTAGTTAGCCGCAGTTAGGTAAATGACAATGTTGAACTTCTAACAAAACTATATTAATACATTATTACGACGTCAAAATTGATCTGCAATCCTTATGGTTTCAAAAAATTTGTTTGGGAACAAGTACTCAAAATTCCAAAAAATTTCATGAGGATTTTGTGATAATTTTGAAACCTGGCTAAAGTTCTGAATAAATTTCTTGTGTCTTCTTTTCTCACTAGAATTTTGTAATAATTTTCAAACACATGAATAGTTTATATATAAAAATGTTTTTGTTGTGAACATTGCATCATGTAAATTTGGTTTGTTAAACATTATAAATATATCAAAGTGAATCAAGGTGATGGGAGTCAATTAAGATATTGGAGAAAACTAATAAGTAAATATAATTGTTTATTTCATGCTCCCAACCATCCACTCCCACACTTTATCAATTACTAGTACTTCAATCGAGGACACGTCAAAAGAAGACGACTCATCATTATGCAGATTATGTGTTTATCACTAATTAGAAGTAATTCAAGTCTGTCCATACATTGGGTTTAGCTGCAATCCCCTATTCCCCTAGCAATCCTGCCCCATTGGTCAGGAATTAGATGAAAAAATGTTAACAATCCATATGCAGCTGTGAAATTACTTTCATAACCGCACCTAGTCCGGTGGACCCGCTGAAAGAGATCCATAGGCAGATGGGAATTCTCATTGCCATGGCTGTGGTCACTGGCCATGAACTTCTTGGTCACCGAATGATGAAGAGCACCACTTGATTTAATAAATCTTGTTTTTGTTTTTGTTTTTTGGGAAAATCAAGAACCAACACATTATATGTATGCAATAAGTTGGTGTGGTCTTTTATAAGAATGGAAAGATATTATTTCTACAGCTTAATTTTATAGTAATACTTAATTTATACCAATTTATCTCTTTAGCTCCTACCTATATGGTTCAAAACACAATTGACCCAAAATTTCTCTTATATATTTTCTCAATTCATGTACTTGTGTGTATAAACCAACAACAAAATTGATCCATGGTTCAAAACACAATTGACCCAACGTTAAAAAATGCTCTCATAGCATGTGACGAGGCCGTCGGAGACTGACACCCAGAGCTGAAGGCAGCTGTGAACAGTCATTGCCAAGTGGCGGGAATCCGTTAGACGGTCGAAACAGGCAAATGAGGATTGTCATTCCCATGGCTTTAATTTCAGTACATGAACTCAACGGCACCAAGTTTAATTAACATCTAGCATGCAGCAGACATTGATGTAAAACATATTAAAACTTCAAATTATTCACATAAAACATGGAACCATCCTTGAATCAGAATGCTCATAGAATGAACACTGAAGTCGAACTAACCGTACAAAAACTATCTCCTGAGTCACACGAATGGAAGATAATGTTCATCAAAAGATGTACATCTGGAGAAAATAGAACAAGCAACAACTACATAAGAGACAAGAGTGACTCCTGAGGCAGATCATCGGGCTAACAAGGCAACACGATCCTTCTGTATTGCCTGTGTCAGGTTGATATCAAAGAGCTCACATCGTATAGGCATCTCCATCTCATAGAAGGGGTTCTTCAAGACATAATCTGTGTACAATTCATAGATATGTTTCAAGAGACCTTCCATGTGCTGTGTCCCAGGCTCACAGACAACAAAGAACTTTGTCCCTGCAACAGAGATATTATCCTTATCAAAAAGCACTAGTTTTTCAATCTAAGACATTCATGAAATTTCACTTCCAAGGATTAAGTGAACTGTCATAGGAACAAAAAGGAAAATGCATCGTACACCCTACTCAATAAGAATGTTTCAATTCAAAAGGGAAAAAGGCCAAGCCTAAAATAACAGAGACTTAGTTGCTCTGTAAAACTGAACAGCTAAACTTGTCAACACTGAAAGACACATTAACTTTGTGCTGAGCAAATTTCGGACCAGGCAGACAGATCTGAGTTCGCATCCAGGATATTAACCCACCTCATTCACCTTAAGAACAGAATTTGTCAAGATGTTGTATACCTTGTATCATTCGAGTCACTTTTTTGCTTAGGAAGAAAAACAGGAGTGATATGTATCCTATAAGAAAGTAAAGAACTTAGAAAATCTAATATTTACTACACGAACATGATGCAAGGAAGAGGGCATTGTTAGATATGAAGACTATGAATTTTCATACTTTCTTTTACCAGAACAAGATAATCTAGTTCTATGGAAATTGATAATATCACCCTCAATCATGTAGAGGGAAACTCTAGTTGCTTAGCCCATCTTCAATATAGAACCCCAAGATAGATGTTGCCTAAACCTCACACCCAATGGCTTACAAGTTACAAAAACACCACCATTAGTTGTTCCAGACATTAAACACATTAACTCACTCAATGAAAATCTTTGGCATTCACCTCACTTCCGAAACTCTCATTGTGTAGCCCATCTTCCAAAATACAGAACCACATAACATATGCTGCCTCCAAATGGCTTACAAGAATGCCACCATTAGTTATGTAAGACGTTAAACACATCAACTCAAATCAATGACAATCTTTAGCACTCACCTCACTTATGAATTTATTCCCCCCTGAAATAAGTTAACTATTTTTAATTCACGAGGTCGCAACCTAAAACAATGCAATGCAAAACATAATGTCACAAGCGAGGCTTAGTTTAAACCAGTATTACAAGCAGTAGATCGCCAGATTATTTCTTTGGCTCCTACTATACCAATTTAAGCTCACCAAATTAAAAAGACGCATATCGGTGTCAATCCGACCAAAAAGTCCTCAGAACCTCACTCTATTTACAATTTACAAAATCAAAATGCTCGATACAATCTAAGTCCTATCTGACATGTTACAATAACTGCTAACACCAGATCATACAAATCAACTATATCTAAGAGAGAATTCACAATTTTGGTTGCAAATTGGTTGATAACTCAAATCTTGGCAGCCTTACCAAATTTGGTCAATGTGATTGAAACCCACTAAAATACAACACAGAGTTTGGAAACAGAAAAGGTTAAATTTTGAAATGTACCAGTGAGTGATTGGAAGCAATGAAGATCGAAAGTGTCAGCTTGGAGGAGCTCGATGCCGAAACAACCCGATATCGGCGACAGCTGCTGAGAAATGGCGTGCATAGAGTGCCACAAGCTTGCAACCCTCAAGCTATCATTAGTGTCCATCCGTCCCGAAGACCCATAATCCTAATTTTTTTTTTTTCCAGAAAAAGAGAAAAAAATCAAAATTCGATAATAGATGAAAAATTGAAGTTCCGATTACCAGAGTTTTGGGTTTCTTTTACCTTGTAGAAGATCAATCCACCTGATTTGTTGATGATGTATAGGCTGTAAATTGCTGCCATTTCCAAGGGGTATTTCGGAATCCAATAGAAATATATGAACAAAATAGAAGAACGAAGAAGAAGATGCCTATTTGATCAAACAGAGGAAATCAAACCTTTAGCCCAGATTCAGATATAAAACCCGAATAAATGGGTCCGACCCGAAATACTGTAGGGAATCCGGAGCCAGTTGATTTGCGCGAATCGTTACTTACTTGTCTGATGTTTAGCGCGAAGATGCAGGTTCGAATCCTTCTCGAGCCAAATCTCATTGTTTTGGACTTCTTTTTACGTGCTTTTATTTGCTTATTTAGGCTTATTATCACAAAACGTCTTTAAGGTTTACAAAATTATCAGATTGCATTCTTAGTGTTTTTTTGTGTCACTTGTGGTCCTTAAGGTTAGTATGTGCGATTACAAATAGTCTATGCCGTTAAGTTCTGTCAAAAACTCTGTTAGTTTGCTGACGTGACATATATATATATATATCACAAAACATCCTTGAGGTTCACACACTTATCACAAATGGTCTCTACGAATTTTTTTAATTTTTTTATTTAAAATTCATAAAATTGTAGTTTTCTTTTTAAAATTATTTATAAATGAAAAAATCATTTATAGAAGGATTTTAATCTTAAGGACCATTTATGAACCCTAAACCCTTAGTTTTTTCATTTTTAAATTTTATGAATTTTAAATTATTTTTTAAAAACTCCATTAGTTTGTTGATGTGGCATATATATAGAGCCCACATCTACAATAATATAGTGTCACATGTATTTAAAATTCATAAAATTTTAAAAATAAAACCAAAATTTTATGAATTTTAAATATAAAAAATTAAAAAAATTCGTATGGACCATTTGTGATAGGTGGATGAAGCTCAGGGATGTTATATATATATATATATATATATATATCACGTCAGAGAACTAACGGAGTTTTTAACGGAACCTAACGGCAGTGATCATTTGTGATCACACATACTAACATTGAAGACCACGAATGACACAAAAAAACATTAAGGATGCAATCTAATAGTTTCATAAACTTTAGAGACATTTTGTGATAATAAGCCAAAAATAATTGATGAAATAACTCTAGCCCAATTAGCTGAACTGGTATTTTAGTTCTAAACCCTAAAATAATATGACAATATTGTATATTTAAAGCGTATAGCCGTCCGGCTATTAAAATATTTTAAAATATAGCCGCGCGGCTATACTCGTAAAATATATTATTTTATAGGTACAGTCGCGCGGCTGTAACCATATATTATTTTAGAGGTACACAAGGCTTGCACTTGCAGCCACAGCCGTTTCGCTTCTCTATAAGAGCAACTCCACCCATTTGCCCTTAGCCATGGCAAGGGGGGAGCTAGGGCAGCTACTATTCACGTAAATAGTAATTGCCCTTGCAAAATCCGAATTTTGTGTTTCCACCCGTTGCCCTTGCTAAGGGCAGTTACTATTCATTTTTTTGTTTTATTCACAATTTTTTTTACCTCAATAATTAATTTGGATAATATTTTAGGATTAGATTTTAGGGTTCCTACATGTCAATACTATTCATATCTCATAATCGGATAAAATTTTCAATTTCAAATTTCAAATAAATTAAAAAAAATTGGCTGGTATTTATAGAAAAAAATTCATTAATTTTTAGGTATTTTTTAAAAAAAATTTCGAATTTTTTCCAGTATTTTATTGCAAAAAAATTGGCTGCCGTTGGATTGGAGGAAAAAAATCAGATCGGAGAGCCCAGATGACGCCACGTGGCAACAGGGGGGAAAAAATCAAATCAGTGGGGGTACTGTAGCGTACTGTAGCGATACTGTGGCGGGGGTACTGTAGCGGGTACTGTAGCGCTGACGTCAGCAGCCCGAGTTTTGGACCTCGGGCTGAAGCTGCCTTCGGGCCCGCCCCCGGGTGGGGGGGCCCCCCCCCCGGGCCTGGGCTGCTCCGCTTGAACACAATTTTTTTTTTTTTTTCCCCCTAGCCTTGGGCTAGGCTCATGGGTGGAAAGGCCCTAAGCGCTTCCAAGCTTCAAAGACTCGATCTTGAACCTCTCTCTCTCTCAACTCAAGGTTCGATTTTTTTCTTTTGTTTCGGTTGCTGCGTTGATTGGATTGGATTGAATCCTCTCTATGAAAACCATCAAATGTCGTTCAGCTATTGAAATCTCCACTATGATAACAACTCTGATGCTATAAAATCTTAAAATCCTTTGAAGAAACTCTCCGATAATCGTTTTTCCATTTAAACAAACAAAAAAAATTGCAATGTCAGAAACATACGTAAATTGGACGCCATGGTAGCAACGGAGAGACACTCGAACTCGTAGTTAGGCGGTCTGGGCTGAGCTAGGCGGCCCCTAGGCGATCTGGGCGGATCTAGGTGGCCCTTAGGATGTCTGGGCGGATCTGGGTGGCCCTAGGCGGTTTGGGCGGAGATAGGCGGTTGCTAGGCAGTCTGGGCGAATCTAGGCGGCCCCTAGGTGGTCTAGGCGGATCTGGGCGGCCCCTAGGCGGTCTGGGGGGATCTAGGCTGCCTGCGCGGGTCTAGGCTGGTCTGCGTTGGTGTTGAGGTCTACTGCTCTCATAAACCAGAAGTGCCATGTGAAGAACAAGGATATTAGGAAGTTTCTTGATGGGATTTATGTGAGTGAGAAGAGGAGTGATTAGATATTTGGGATTTGTACTTGTTAAGAGTGCTTTTTCTTATTTTTCTTTGGAGTTTTTCATCTGTACTTTCTTCTTTTTTCTTTTTTCTTTTTTTAAAAATCTTGTATGGAAATTTTGATGAGTAAGTTTTACTATATTTTGGGTTTCTGTTGCCAAACATAAATTGTGGAATTCTGGGATTATTTTATGCAGGTTATTGATTTTAAAAGTGAGAAATGTGATGGAAAATCTTTCATTTGCACAATCTTCAGTTTTTTATATGTTTTCACTTTCTGGAAAGGAGGATACCTATTTAAAGGTTTTGTAAAGAGGCCACTGATAAATATATCTGTTGGTGAGACGAGGCATGTTAAGGAAAACTGGATCAAGGGGGCTCTTCTTATTCTGACGAGTCACAATGCATGGAGTGCATGGCTAATCCTCCAGGTGATTTTATAATTGAATTAAGATGACACCCTTTTATGTCATGTAATGTCCGAGTTTAGTTCTTTGTCCAACTTTGGCTCTCTGGTCTCACACACAGGCTGTGGTCTCCAAAGTCTACACTGCTCGATTATCGCTAACCATGATGATATGCTTTTTCGCGTTGTTGCAATCTTCTTTCTTGATCTGTTTTTCGCAAGAAATCCAATTTCATGGAGACTGGAGTGGAACCTGCAACTTTCAACCATCGCCTACTGCGAGAGTGTTCTCTTCTCATATCTTATTATTAGGTTCACAACGTTGATTTCAACAATTGATCATGCAAATTCTTATCCGAATCTGTAGTTCGATTTAAAAACCTCACAGCAGAACATGTAGAAGAGAACATTGTCTTTTGTGTGTGTGTGTGTGTGTGTGTGTGTGTGTGTGTGTGTGTGTGTGTGTGTGTGTGTGTGTGTGTGTGTGTGTGTGTGTGTGTGTGTGTGTGTGTGTGTGTGTGTGTGTGTGTGTGTATAAAGTAAATAAATGGGACATCCTATTTTGTTGTGTCTTATTGGGTGTTTTTCTCCTTGTTGGTATAAGTTATATTTGAATCTGTCACAAGCTCTGGTCTTCATCCACTCCTTACTTTTGCAATAGGGAGTTGTAATCTCAGCATTAGCCTACTACCTGCAAACATGGTGCATCAGTTACAAGGGACCAGTCTTTACAGCTATGTTTAGTCCACTTCAAGTCATTATAGTGGCATTGTTCTCGGCAATTTCTTTCGCAGAGCGACTTCACTTTGGCAGGTAACCTGAAGAACACAGACACCTTCTTCCTATTCCATCTTACTACTTCCACATTTGATGGTTTCACTTATCCATTCTATCACGGTAGTTTGTTTGTCATGAAAATTAGTCACAAATTTAATGTGGATTTTGTGAAAGTGGTGGTGTGCAGCTTGATCGGAGCGTTTCTCATTATCGTGGGCCTTTACTGTGTGCTGTGGGGAAAGAAGGAAAGACAATGTTGTTGCTGATGAACAGACAGAGAATGGAAAAGGGGTACTTGAAGACATTAAAGTGCTGGAGAATTATATTTCAGTCATAAATCCAGTCACTAGAGAAAGGACATGATCATAAGAGTTCAGTTTCTTTTTACACATTATACAGAAGATCAATCCCAGATAAAATTTCAGAGAGGTAAATGCACACCACCTAACTATAAATGATTGCCAAATTGATAATGGTTTGAGCCCTACAATCCAATCCATATGAACTTATTAATACAAATCAACAAGAGAAATCCTTGTTCTCTTTCATGGTGTCATTTCAGGGAGTTTTCAATATATCAATCACAAACCGGTATATCACAACACTTTTTAGTAGCCTCTCAATAGCTTCATTTGCAGATTGAATTGGAATTATTTCAATCATTGGATGAATTCCATTTGAAGCAAAGAAATCTATAATTTCTTGGATATCCTTTGTTCCACCTGTTACACTACCAGAAAAGGTTTTCATACCTGCCAAAAGGCCAATGCATGGAGTTCATTATATATACTTGCAATTGCAACAGTTGGATATATAAAACTGTCATTTCAATCATTTGAAACATATGCCAATGTACCGATATGAAGGTTGGCAGGACTGATTTTGACTTCACTGGGGAATCCCACCATAAGACCAGAACTCCACCAGTTTCAATAGTTCCATGTATGGATCAAAAGGGTGACTTCACCAGGGCCTACATAGCAAACAATAACCGACAAATACTAAACCTATACGATGAGCCATCATTTCCACTATTTTTTCTATTGTTCATGTGATGAGGTAAGAAACTTTATGTATTTTTACCTTCATCTGATTTCTGTCAGATGAGATCACAAAGTTATCTGCACCCAGCTGACTTAAAGCTTCCTCTTTCTTGGATACGCTAGTGCTGAAAATTGTTACATTCAAACCAAATGCCTTGCCAAACTTCACCGCCATGTGACCTAGGCCACCAAGGCCAATCACCCCTAGAGATTTACTAGGTTGGTTCATCTTATGGCGTACCATCGAAGCATAAACAGTAATTCCAGCACAAAGTAGAGGGGCTGCCGAAGCCAATGGATAGTTTGCCGGTATTAATGCATGATTGGATGCAGCTTGCTTCTTTATCAAACCATCGTCCTCATGAAAGGTTGGATCTCCTACTCTTGCGACATACAAGAGAAATATTGCACTTTTCTCCCCTCTTAACATTGGGAAATTCAAGTGCACGTGGACATGGTATATGTAAGAAATGAGATGCTACTTCTCATCTAACACGTTTTTTGAAATCTCATTTAGAATAGTTCGTGTATATATATATATATATATATCAATCCCATATGACCTCTGATAACTTCAATTTATTCAAAACTCTTCTCTTCGTTGTCTCATTAGAATGTTTTGTATCCAATTTTTCATGTGCAGAGATTATATTGATGTATCTCAAAGTAGAAGAGCAGGTTGTCAAGTGCAATGAGAAAAAGGCTGTCATTGGGTTTAGTCGATCGGCTAAAGTGGTATTTTAGCCCTAAACCCCAAAATAACATGACAAAATTGTATATTCAAATAGTATAGCCGGGCGGCTATACGGGTTAAATATATTATTTTAAAGGTATAGCCGACCGGCTCTACGGTTTGAATATATTCGAATATTTTAAATGTATAGCCGATAAATATATTTCCAAACAAACACGAAGCTTGCACTAACAGTCACGGCCATTTCGTTTCTCTATAAGCGCTTCCAAGCTTCAAAGACTCGGTGTTGAGCCTCTCTCTCTCTCTCTCAACTCAAGCTTCGAAATTTTTTCTTTCGTTTCAGTTGCTGCGTTGATTGGATTGGATTGGACACTCTCTATGAAAACCATCTGTAGAAACTGATTTTCCCTTATATTATTCATATGATCATTATACAATATATATAAAGTCTGTAAAGAATAATCTACAGTTACAACAAGTCATTATCACAAACATAAATATGGAGTTATGGCCTAATAACAACGTAACTGACAATTGACCATTCCTATTATTAGTAGGATTAACTATTATAACTGAAATACTATTGTAACCTGAAAGATACCTTATTAGGAAGGAAGAAGACTTGCCAAAGTGCGGAGATCATATGAGTCATCTTTCTTCTGAGGTTCCTATCATTGATTTCTCTCTGCTCTCTGAGGAACTCCATAGGTGCAACAACGGCTTGAGAGAAACAAAGTAATAGCAAAATAAAAATAATGCCAAGTGAGAGGCAGCAAGTGAAGGAGCGCATGGGCTCATGGAAGGAGGGAATAAAATGAAAGGCTGACATACAAGTCAAATGTACCTAGGGAACAACTCTAGGCACCTGAGAAACATAACTCTACCTAGGAATCACCTCTATGTAGGATAAAGAGCATGCAATAAGCGGGAAAATAAAGGGATGGGGAAGTGAAACCCATCATCAAGTGGGAAATGCCAGAAAGTCGTGCACAAAAAGAGAGAAACACAATTTTAAAAGTAAAGGGATGGGGAAGAAAAAAAAAACCACAAAAAAGAGAAGAAACACTTGCCAAGTGAGACAGAGAAAGGAAAAGAGAGTGTGGGCAAAACACATAGAGTTAAAATCTTTTCAAAATAAAGATGGAAAAAAAAAAGAGAAAGAAAGAGATGAGAAAAGGTAACACCCATCAAAAGGAGAAAGTAGGCAAGAGAGGGAGAGAGAACAAGAGGCAAGAGATAATCCATGAAAAGGAAAGGAAACTCAAGATGGCAGAGACAACCCATGATAGGGAGAGAGACAACACAATTGAAAAGAAGAGAAGAGAATACCCCAGAAACATAAAAGAATTATAAAGAAAAGAAAACAATACCTTGTAACAGAGAAGAAGAAAGGCAGTGCAAGAGAACATTGAAGAACACAGAGACCAACAGTAAAATCAAAGAAATAGATTGGGCTTAAGAGGGGAGAAGAACACAGGTTGAGCATAGATAGAGTGTGAGAGGTCGATACCACAGAGAGAGAGAGAGAGTTCAAAGGGACTAACGACAGTGAAGCACAGCAAGATACAGACAAAGGCCGACTAGGATAAGGCTTGGCGAGTGAGGCTCAATCTTTAATAGAGAGCATAAGAAGGAGAAATGGCTCAATCATCAATAGAGAGCTAGACACAGAGAGAGTGAAAGATAAAGGCTCATCAATGAGTAGAGAGCTTGACAGGGAGCATTGAAAAATAAAAGGAAATGGCAGTGGCAGCGGCAAAGAGAAAGAAAAAAAAAATACTGATTATAGAAGGGAGGAGAAGATGGAGAACTATACATAAGCAAACACCCTTTCGGGCGAGGAGAGCCAACGACTCTCAATGTTGGCAAATGAAGGATCGCTAATTGGCATTAGCCATTAGCTCTGATACCATGTAGAAACTGATTTTCCCTTATATTATTCATATGATCATTATACAATATATATAAAGTCTGTAAAGAATAATCTACAGTTACAACAAGTCATTATCACAAACATAAATATGGAGTTATGGCCTAATAACAACGTAACTGACAACTGACCATTTCCTATCATTAGTAGGATTAACTATTGTAACTCCATAACACCATCAAATGTCGTTCAGCTATTGAAATTTCCTCTAAGATAACAACTATGATGCTATAAGTAGTTAGGCGGCGTCTAGGCGGCCTGGGCCGATCTAGGCAGCGCCTAGGCGGATCTAGGCGGCCTGGGAGGTTCTAGGCGGCCTGGGCAGGTCTGAGCGTCCTTTTTTTTTTTTTTTCCAAATGAAGACAGACGAAGCTTGCACTCGCAAAGGAATGTGGTGTGCGAGTGAAATGAAGAGACAGAGAAACGAACACAAAGCTTGCACTCGCAGTCCAATCTTCAAAATTCAAATACATGGTCTTGAGCCTCTCTCTCAACTCAAGCTTGAATTTTATTTTTTCTTCGGTTTCGGCAACTGCGTTGATTCGATTTTTTGTGTGCTTTTCTGTTATTGAAGTTGGCAACGTCAGATGAACATCCAAGGCAGTTTCTTAGTATTCCAGAAGAAGCCCAGCAGATGGTTCTTTAACCTGAGGCACACCTTGCAGTTTGGCATTGGATTACACCATGCCGGCTAAATGACAAAGATAGATCTCTGGTTGAGGAAAGATTCAGGCATTTCTGTTTTATCTCAATAAGCATGAGTCTTTCCTGAAAAACACATTAGGAAAAGAGAATATAAAACGATCATTTTCTTAATCTAAATACTGATTAGGCATGTGTATTAAATTATAGGTATTGGTTTGTACCAGCACATTGGCATGCGGTGTAAACCTTCTAGGTCATTATTAAGGTAAGGCAAAATTTGTGCGCTATCTTTTTCATTTGGTTCCTATATTCACAAAGGTTTCTAGCAGGAGTATATTGCAGCAGCTGTTCTTCAGAACAAATTTACGTAAGTGTTGATTCTCTTGCAGTTGCAGGGAACATAATATTATGATGGGAAAACAAAGAGATATGTTGATTTTCCAATATCAATCACAGATATATTGCAAATGATGGTTTTGGTCACACGTGACTATATAGAGTAAAAAATGGAAAGAAAGAAATATGTGAATCAGATTACATGCTTTTCTCCTTTTATAATCAACAGTTGCTCAGATTCTACAAGAAAGATGGGAGTATATAGTTACAATTCTGACTTCTTAGTAGTAGTACTTGCCTAGAATAAAAGACGAGTGCTAGTGCGAATCGGGCATTCTGCCTTGTTTATATTATTACATTCGACAGCTAGCATATCAGTTGATTAGTTAGAGATGTTAATCGGGGATGCTGAGCACCCTTGAATGTTGTTAGTCCATGCCTCTTTCCTGTATTGTTTATCTTGTTTTTTTTTTTTCCCTCTTAACATTGGGAATTTCACGTTCACGTCAGTTCATGATTACGATGGATACATTTTAGAAAGTAAATTCTTATACAAGCAATTTTATACTATGAAATTCAACATTCTTTGATCCACAAGATGTTGGTGGATCCCTATTTTTGTTGTTGTATTTACGGGTTTAACCGGTATTATTTCTCATAAATAAAGTCCGTTTTTTATTCTTGCACAATGGGCTAATAGTCGGAAATCATTAGAATGGGAGGTATCGGAAAGAATTTAGATTCTCAGGCGCGACGTCATCGCGTGGTTTCAAATTTTTTTACCGTTGGCGCGTGCAATGGTAAAAAAAATTTGAACTCGTGTGCGTTGACGTCAGCCCTGCGCAATCTCCAACG